AGTGTGTAGATGTTGTTTATCTCTATGTGCCTGTTGATGGCTGCCTTGTCTGAATTCCAAGAATTCCCATGCATTTTTGGATTTAGTATGGTCTAAGATGCCGACAGTTTCCCAGTTGAAACTATGGTTAAGTCTTAAGTAGAGGAATCTTCACAAAAGTCATATATTGATGACATATTAGGAAAAATACACTTTAGAAACTTGTGCGTGATCATGAAGAGAAATACCAATATTAGATGTGAAATTTAGTGCAATTTTTAAAAACTCTTAATGTGTTTAGATATGGAATAAGGCAAGTTCAGCTTTGAGAAAAAACAGAAACTGAGAAAAGCCTGAGATCAGTACATTTGCCCAACTCTACTCAAGTGCAAAAATTCTCCAGTGGTTTTAGCAGTTGGGCTTCCTAATTTTGTTATCTTAGATCCTCTAAAGGAAAAAATGTTCAGAATATCCCCCCCCACCCCGAGATTTCCTGCAAGCTAATGATCTTCTCTACCTTCTAAACCTTCTGTATTAATGAACGTCACCTGCTCACTAGCATGTACACACATGCAAACAAAATATACTTTTTGGTTGGGACTTCTGGGTCATGTGTATGAACTTTTATATCAAATATATGATGGATTATACACTACAGACTGTTATGGTAGATAAGGCAGATGTGTTATTTTCAGATGCAGCACATTGCACCAGATGTCAGGAAGGTCAACATCAAAATGAGGGTCGAGATCAATGTGTCCCCAAGACCATAACCTTCCTGTCCTATGAAGAGAGTTTGGGGATCATCCTTGCTTCCTTTGCACTGTTGTTGTCCTTAGCCACAGGGTTTGTATTAGGAATCTTCATTAAATTCCTAGAAACTCCGATAGTCAAAGCCAACAACCAGAGTCTCTCCTATATTCTCCTCATCTCCCTCCTGCTTTCCTTCTTGTCCTCTTTCCTGTTCATTGGCCGCCCAAAGAAAGCCACCTGCCTTCTCCGACAAATGGTCTTCAGCATCATCTTCTCAGTTGCTGTCTCTTCTGTCTTGGCCAAAACAATCACAGTGGTGCTGGCCTTCCTGGCCACAAAGCCAGGAAACAGGGTGAGCAGTTGGCTGGGGAAGACTTTGGCCAATACTATTGTTCTTTCTTGTGCTTGTGTTCAAGTGGTTATCTGTGCCACCTGGTTGGGAATCTCTCCTCCATTTCCAGACTATGACTTGAACTCCCAGCATGGAGAGATCATCCTACAATGCAATGAAGGGTCCATAGCTATGTTTTATAGTGTCCTTGGCTACATGGGCTTCCTGGCTGCCATCTGCTTTGTGGTGGCTTTCCTAGCCAGGAACCTGCCTGGAATCTTCAATGAAGCCAAGCTGATCACCTTCAGCATGTTGGTCTTTTGCAGCGTTTGGGTGTCGTTTCTGCCTACCTACCTGAGCACCAAAGGGAAATACATGGTGGCCGTGCAGATCTTCTCCATCTTGGCCTCCAGTGCTGGGCTGCTGGGCTGCATCTTTATCCCCAAGTGTTATATTATTGTGGTGAGGCCAGATCTGAATACAAAAAGATACCTAGCAACAAAAATAAAATTATAAACCTAAATTTTATAGAATAGTTTTGGGGAAGGCATTTAGGACTTACAAAGGAAGTTATATCGCCTGTTCTCCCTCACCCACTCCTAATTTTGTAAAATAAGTTAAGTGATATATGATTAGCTTTCCAGGCAAAATAATTTATTTATTGAAAATATTTCTGAACCATATCTCATGTAGTCCTACATTTAAGCGATTTACATATAAGGAATAAAACCTATTAAAATACAATGACTATTTATTCAAACAAGTGTATAACCCTGCTCATTTTTTAAATCGTGAAGTGTTTATAATTGAACTAATAGGTTATAACAACTGATAAAAACACTGGAATTCTTGTGAAGTTGATGATATATCAATTTGTTCCATAAATAAATAAATAAATAAATAAATAGGATGATCAGAGGACAAAAGAGAATGACAGGTACTAACATTTTCTCCATGTCCACAAGGCACAGAAACTGCAAATAAACCTGTTCAACAAGAGAAAACAACATAGTGAAATCAGGATGCTCTGTATTATAGTTTGCCTACATAGTTTGGGGAGGTTTTCTAAGGAACAAGATAGGATTCTTGTTAATTGTAGCAATTCTCCTCCCTTCCCAATTTTCAGCCTAGATTGACGTTGCTCTGAATTTGAGAAAGTGCTGGTGGTGTGGGAAATATTTAAGTCATTCATGAGTACTATTAGGAACTGCCTGATATATCCTTTTTTATTTTAATTTACTTGCAAGAAAAATTAGAGTTAAAGTAATTAAAGATAAATGAATGGACCACAGGGTGTGTGATTACTCCTGTATACTGAATATTGTCCATCTTCTGTCACATTAAAAGATGCAGGAAGTCCTCACATAACGACAGTAATTGGAAGAGGAAATTCCATCGCTTAGTGGTGCAGTCACATGACATTGCACTTTATGATTGCATTGCTTAGCGATGGAATTTCTGGCACTTCTGGTTGCCATTGTTAAACGAATCCTACACCATCGTTAAGCGTTGGAATGTCGGCATGGGATTAAGCGAATCCCATGCCAATGTGCCAACGCTTAATGATGGTGTAAGATGGCAACCAGAAGTGCCAGAAATTCTGTTGCTTCCCCTTTGACTTTGCTCATGGGAAGCTGGCAGGGAAGGTTGCAAATCGCGATCATGTGACCACAGGATCCTGCAGCATCATAATTGCAAGCCAGTCACCAAGCCCCCAGATCATGATCACATGACTGTGAAGATGCTGTGACAGTAGCAACTATGAGGACCCGTTGTAATTAGTACTTGTTCAGAGTCATCATAACTTCAAACAGTCACTAAATGAGTGTTAGTTAAATGAGGACTACCTGTAATTCCTCAGTAATATGGGGAGAGACTGAAGCCTTTGGGGGATGAAGGGTGGAGGATGTGCCACCCTAAGCAAAAGAGCAATCTGAGGAACTTTGTAAACACAGGTTCTTCAACTGTCCCTTCCTAATTGTCCTTCTTCCTCTGTGGGTGAATAAACCTTTGCCTGCCGTGGTTTAATCCCTCAGCGTCTTTAGAGTTGATGCCAGAAGAGGATTTTCCCACCTTGAGATCCCTCTAGCAAAGTGAATCTGCCCCTTCTGAGTTTTCCTGCCTAGCAACAGCTGACACAAAGACAACACACTCTCTCTATTGGTGGCAGGGAGTCAGTCCCTTTCCAATTCTCTCGTGAGCAAGTAGGAAGGAGGAGCGACAATCATGGAGATTCAGTGAAACTTTGGTTAGGCTTCAAGAACCCCAAAGAGATGCTCATGGGGGGAGTAGCATGGTCTTTTCCTATGGTCTTTGTTCCAGGGTTGTGGGAGGAAAGTCCCTGGCCCAAACAGCTTACAATTAATTCTGTATTAATACCTTAACCAAGGAACTACCAGAGGGAAAAAAACAAAACAAAACCCACGCCCCCACCAACACCAACACCGGCAGCGTATGCCAC